CGGTCAAGCTGTTGAATTGCACGTAGAGGTGGCAATTGGATCGGATTCGTGGATTCGTGGATTGGATTCGTGGATCCATGGATCAAATGGATTGGATCCAATGGATTGGTGGATTAATGGATTGGATCCAATGGATTGGTGGATTGATCCATGAATCCAAATAACATCCAAAGCTTGGACCAAAATGTAAATATTGAAAAGTTTAGGTACTAAAATGTCATAATGAAAAATTTTAGGTACCAAAATGTAATTTTCCAATGATATTTTTCGTATAAAAATATAAATTTTAGGTACCAAAATGTAAAATATAAAAAATATAGGTACTAAATCGTAATTTGCCATTTGGATCCATGGATTGATCCATGAATCCACCAATCCGATTGGATTTGGATCAAATAGATTGGATTTAAATGGATTGGATTAGGTGGATAATTTGGTGGATGGATTGGATTGGATTCATGGATTTGGATCCTAGTTGCCACCTCTAATTGCACGCTACGAACTACAAAGTGGCGAGGCCAAAATCACCAACTCATCTCGACAGCTGTGAATCTGTCTACCTTTGAGTATTCTACCCTTACGGTCTGCATCCCTGACAACTTATATTCTACTCCCACAATATTTTCATGATAATTTAGTGGCCGCAATATTTTGAGTGAAATCTGAGGGGAAAAAGAAAACCAGAAATAATTAGGAAAAACGGAAAATGAATGCAAACCGCCAAAAATTGTACCTAAACAATAACATACAGATAAAATGATAATATGAAGAAGAATCCATAATAATGCAACAAAATTCATTAAATCCAAGAAATAAATATGCGGTCGCCATTGGTAATGGGAAAAGTATATAAAAAAAAAATACAATAACTCCGGTAACTCCTTTTTGAAGTTTAGTTACAGCCTCCACTCCTGAATAGCCGCCATTATTTACATAAACTTGGCAGCCCTTCCCAGATCATACTCTCTTCTAATTCTTAGTACATAATTGAGTGTCCCGTCTAACAGATGACGCAAGCATTTGGATCGTCCCCGGGAACGTTGGCGGCGCCGTACTGGTAAGGGTAATTGTTGTACCCCTTCTGTTGTTGATAAGGATAATTGCGGTAATAGTAACCACCGTTGACCTGAGGCTGAGGACTGTAGTAATAGGGGATGACAGGAGGAGGAGCAGAAGGGTTCTTTTTGTCTTTTCCTTCATCTTTCTTAACCGCCGCCGCTGCCGCCGGAGGCGGGTCTTCCTTCTTCTTCTCCGGCTGCTTCGGGGGTCCCACAGAGACCACCTCGGTCGCGAACAGCTTCCTGAGCTTGCTCGCTATCTTCACCGGATCCACGTTTCCGACCACCGTCATCTTCATGTCTTTCATGTCCATCGACACCGAGTCAACGCCTGAAATCCCTGTGACTTTCTTCATGGCTCTCTGCTTGTCTCTGTCGTCGTGCAGATCCAGCTTAAGAACCACAACCTGTTCAACAACAACAAAAATAATCAAGATTAGAAACAGTAATTGAGCGTACAGTCACTCGATCAGTAATCTCCCAACAGAATTGACCCAATAGGGCTTAGGTGCTGAAGAGTTGCTGCTAATTGTAATGGGCTCTTACCTTCATTTTGCCTTTGGACGAGAAGGGGGGAAAACAGAGGAGTGAGTCGAGTGAGCTTCAGAGGATGGATGGAATCGATTAAGGCGAGTTTTGGGAAGTTTGAGAGATTGATGTTAGAGCTTGGATGAGAAGCTTGGTGGGTGAAGGTTCTGGTAATGGCGGTTTATATAAGGAGAATGGTTGCCATAAGTCAATTCGAGGTCGTCGCCGTGGCTTCCTCGCGGCTGCATCAGTCTGTGGTCAAGATTCAAGAAAGAAGGAATACAGTTTATTGTCAAAAAAAAAAAAAGAAGGAATACAGTGATTGATTAAAATTTACATTTAAAAGGGAAAGGGTTACGTGCGTAGGAACTAGGAAGCCCGACAAGGCAAAGTGATGACGCGTTTTCCCGACTTCACTTGTCGCCTTCTTCCTCGGAGCTCCTTTCTTGGACCTTCTCTACTATCTGTTCGCTGATTGGCTAACAGTGAGCGTTTACTTTTCTTAGGGTTGTTATTGGGCCAGGGATTTGAAGAAAGAGCTGATAAAATTTTGACGGGAACGGATTGTGAACTCTTCTCGTATTGGGCCTATAACGGGAACAAGAACTTACACTTTTTTCAACCAAGCCCAACGAGGTTACAAGGCAGTAGCCCAAAGGAAAGGAGTGAATAAACTGAGGTAGACATTTGGGCTTCGGGGCCACTTCAGAAGCTAGACCTTCCGAGGAAAGTGTTCAACCAAGCCCGACTTCAGTTTAAGCGGCTATTATTGTTAGTTTGTTGCCATTGTGTAGTGGCGGATCTAGAAATTCAACATAGAATTGTATTCTCTCCAAAATTAATTTTAATTAAATATTAAAATTAAATTAAATAATTATTGAATATGAAAATATCTGAATAATAAAAGATAATAAAAGTTCACATGTGTTTCTTAAAATGGTAAAATACATTTGGTGTCTATACTGCTCAACAAATAACTCTCGACATATCCAACTAGACAAGGGTACCCCCCTCATTGGGTTAATCGTTAGGTTTTGAAAATAATTCGGGAAAAGAATAACATATGACTATTATATTTGGATCTAAAATACAATAACAATTAAATTGTAGTATAGTCAAAAATATATTTACTAATACTGGCAGTGTTCCAAGTTTAAATCACATAGACTACTACTTAAATATTATTTGTACCAATACGCAAACTACTACGGAAGGTTGGATAATCCTTTTTCCAAATTTTAAGAGTGTCCCACTACCACTTAAACATTTTTTTTGCTCATACGCAACTACTATCGGAGGTTGAATAATCATGTTTTCAAATTTTAGGGGTGTCCCGATGCATGTATCCGCCACTGCTTGTGTGTAGGAGTGAAGGGTGGCAATGAGCTGAGTCGAGTGTAATTTTTATTTAATTTGAATTTGAATTTGGTTTGGTTAATAAACGATCAACTTGTTTACCAAAAATTTGGCTTGTGCTTGACTCTAGCTCGAATAATCAATTAGCTTGCGAGATCAGGTCGAGCTAAGGTGTCGTAACTTTTAGTTAGTTATTTTTAATTGTTGATATCGTCGTACCAACTAGTAACTAGGTTAATCATGTCATCGTCTCTTGAATAAGTGAAACGTGAGCAACCAAGGGATAAACATACCGACAAAACTACAAAAGATCTCGTATATGCAATTATGCATGTACCGTAAGAATGTGAGGTTGAAACATATCCCGATAGAAAAGCATGAAGCCGGAATCCAAATGTGCGAAGGAAGATGATAAATGAAGCCAAAAGTTAGGCTTCGTGACACCACTCATTTCACTTATCGAAACATTAGGCGAAACCGAGGAGTTAGGCCATCCTCTGTAAACAACGTTACCTTTCCAATACGAGCCAAAGGTGAAAGGAAAAGGCGGAAAAGGGATCGACCCGCTTTAGCTGGATCCAAACGTTAACTCTTGTTTACTTCCAATATGGCAAATTACATCGTCCAGCGTCACAGCCCACACAACCTCAAGTCGACGCCAAGCAGAGGGAGTCATTGGAGTGACAGTTTCATGTGGGTGGAAATGCAGGAGCAGAGAGGGAAGCCGTCGTGGGACCCACTTCCGAAAATATCTTCCCCAATCAATAGCCTGCTCGTAAAAACGACTGTACTGTACGAGTATCAATGCCGCGCCACGTGTCCTTCGCTCCGGCGGGCCAAAAGCTTCAATGGTATATATATATATATATGTTTTGGACCTTTGGGCCGACCTTTTATCCCTTTTACTCCGACGCCGGAGAGCGTTGGATAGTGAGATGGGAAAGGTGTGATCAGGTGGGAGGGGGTCCACCGTAAGCAATTTGAGCTACCGGCTCAACGAGTTCAAATGAAGCCATTGGCTTATCAAATTGTTGGTCGTTGCCCGTTGGACCCAACGAGGGGAGTTGTTTGGTTCGTTTTGAGATCACTTCTCTTTGTAGTTCCTTTTACTATGATTTTTTGTATGATGAAAAATCAAAATCAGGTAGTATTGGTGGAGTCAGAAATTTAAATGAAATGCTAAAAATCTATTTATAGAAAATTTGAATTGGCGAGAAAGGACTAAAGCCTACAAACTACTATATTTTTCAAAATTATAATGAAATTTACTTTTAATTTTACATTATTTTGAGAGTTAAAAGAGGGCTATATCCTTCTCTACCATCAACATGGTTCCACCACTGTCATGCAACACTGCATTAATTGATCTTTGGTTGGTTGAAGTTAGGGCCTGTCCAACCAAGCCGTAATACAATATTAAAAATTAGGACTCTATAATTTGTGGTTCGCCGCAATCAGGGTTGGCGTGTTATTCCTATGCATTGGATTCAATCTTTGTTTTTCTCAACCCGTCAAGTTTCACATTTAGTTTTAAATTTTGTCTTTATAAAAATATATAAATTTAAAGATATTTGAATAAGAATCATACTAAAATGTCTAAATGGCAAAATTTTGTTGATTAGATTGACCCAAGCTGACATAATATTCAACTTTACCCAAGCTGTCTAATATGGAGAATTGAGCTAAACCTCAGATTCTTCTAAAATATTCAATTCGTGTTCTTAACTACAAATCGTGAACCGACTTTATCAGGGCTAGGGGTGGGCATTGGTGCGGTCCAAACCGCTCCGCCCGCTCCAAATCGCTTATGCGGTCAATCCAAACCGCACCATTAAGATTGCGGTTTAATTTGCGGTCTAATCCTAGGCGGTTCGCGGTTTTGTGGTACGGGTCGACCGAAACTGCGCGGTTGCGGTTCAAAACCGCAAACCACTAAATCCCTACCCAGCTCAGCGAGGGATTCACGAGCAAGCCTTGCGGCGGCGCCATCCCGACGATTCCTCCCTCTCGAATTCCTCCATCCTGGCGCCGACGATTCCTCCCTCTCGAATTCCTCCATCCCGACGATTCCTCCATCCCGACTACCTACCCGACGACGTCGATCTATCCGTGCCTCTCGACGACTACCTACCCGCCATTGTTCCACGACGGGCCCTGCAAGAGCACCACTGAGAGGCGAATCAGGCGATAGCTCCAGCGTCGACGCCGACGATTCCTCCATCCCGACTCCCGATCTGTTCTTGCGAGGGTACTCCCGACATCCCGACTCCAGCGCCGACGATTCCTCTGGTACTCTCTTTCTCCCTCCTCTTTCCCTTCTGTTCTTCAGTCTTCACTTTCGTTGTGCACTTCTACCACATTTCAAATCATGGATGAGCAAGCCTGGTGTTAGGATTATGAACAGCATCACTGCAATGAACACTGGCCCCCAGTCTATCATTTTTTCCATTCCCCTTCCCTTTTGTAGAATTTTCTTGTTTCCTTCTTCTTCTGGTATTGAGTTGCCCTCTGTTCACTTTCTCTAGGATGAAGTTATGTGGGGATTTATAAATGGGTTGAGAAAGTTTGGTTTATTACCTCATGGGTGATAGATAGATATATGACTGATGAGTTCGTTTGGGTGAACCACACGCTAGCTAGCTTCAGTGAGGAGCAGTGGCAGGCAGGAAGGATCAAGCTATCCATCCAATCGCCCGCTGTAGCACAGCTTAGGGAGCGTAAGAAGGCAACGTACTAGTTACTATTTTATACAATACTGCGAGTCGATTCTCAGAAAGGAAGAACCATGATCAAAAGTGAAAGAAACAGAGTTTGGAAAAAAGAGATAGAAAGAAAAGTCTGATCATCACATTTCCTTTGCCCCTTCGTGGGTTTCCTACTAGGCTTCGTGGGTTTCCATCTATGGAGGCCATTTCCTTCATTAGTACTCTGATGCAGTATTGGTACTTCCAGCAACTTGTTAATGCAGAAAATATGTTATTAGATGCATTAATCCATGTTTCTAACTGTTTTCTTTCAAATTCGATATCAACCAGTTGGGAAAAAGAAGATATTATCTGCAAAATGAAATCAAAAAGCTCGCAGGGAAAACGAGCTCAAGCATCGGTATCTAGTGAGGTGAGTTTCTTTGACTATGGTTACATTCTTAAGCGGGATTTGGTGTGTGTGTGTGTGTGTTTACTTATGTGGTCCGTTGCCACCTGGTTTGCTTGCTTTGGTTTGCTTGCTTTGTTAGCTGTCCTGGTTTATGCTGGTTTTGTGAATGGATTAGTTGCTCTGTCGACCTTAAAACTGTGTGCATGCTACAGATTGTCCTCTCATTAAATTATTGAACCTGGAGGAGTAGGTCTCTGTACACAGTACAGCAAGTGGTGCTGGAGCTTGCGTGGCAGATTTTAAGGCTTTGGATAAGAATTGCTTGGGGGGTTTGGTTTCCTTCAAAGTCATAAAGTGTGTGGTGTTGCTTTTTCTAAGGTCTTCCCTATAGTTGTTGTTGCTGATGATGATGTCTGAAGTCTTCTTCTCTGTGTATGTATTCTCTATGTATTGTATGTATTGTTGTGTTGCTTGGTGAGTTTACACAAAGCATTAGTATGCCTGAACTTAGAAGTGTTAATATTTAGGTGAATGATGAATGAATGCTATTGTATATTAATCTGACTTCTTTAATTTGCTGTTGTATATTAATCTGACTTCTTTCATGTAAATGACAATAAATTGCTGTTGTATATTAATCTGACTTCTTTCCTCTTTGTTTAATGGTAAAGTGGGGGAGGTGTAGAAGGTGGATTAGGGAAGTGCGGTTAGGTAGAGTTGTATGATTGGTTTCAATACTTGCTACTAAGAGTTTTGTGACTACAAATGTTGATGATATTTGATGTTTCATTATTAGGTTGAATATGATGATGTTGCAATGGAGTCTTTAAGTGGGGAAGATATGGAAGTCGAAGTGGATGCAAGTACAAGTAGTGTGGGTGCTGCTGATATTGGTTCAACTGCAACTCAAATTAAGTCACCGAAGGCAAAAGGCAGGAAGCTTACGTCAAAAGTATGGGTTCAATTCAAGAGGCATGTGACAAAGGAAAGATTCAAGGCATCATGTATCAAATGCGGGAAGACTTATGAATCTAAATCGAAAAGAAATGGAACAAGTGCGCTTCTCAGACATATGGAAAAACCATGCGGTGATAAAAAAGGTACTGCTCAACAACTGTTGAATACAATTAGAGTTGGATTAGGAGAGAGTGATGAAGTAGTGTTAGGGAGCTGGAAGTTTGACCAAGCCGCTATAAGGAAAGGATTGGCTTATATGATTATTGTGGATGAGTTACCTTTTAGGTTTGTTGAATACTTGGGTTTCAAGTATTTTATGTCACTTACTTGTCCTAGATTCTGCATACCTTCTAGAAGGACTGTGACTAGGGATTGTTGGGAATTTTATCTTGAGTTGAAGCAAAAGTTAAAGAATGTCTTTAGCAACTGTGAAGGTAGAGTTTGCTTGACTACAGATTCATGGACTTCCAACAAGCAATTGAATTTCATGTGTGTGACAGCCCATTTTATTGACAGAAACTGGATATTAAGAAAAAGGATTACCAATTAAGCTTCATGGCAACGAAGATGAAACAGAAATATGAGAAGTATTGGGGAGATGTTGACAAGATGAACAAGTTGTTGTACATTGCTGCCGTTTTAGATCCACGGCGAAAGTTGCGCTTTATTGGTTTCGCTCTCAAGTGGATGTATGATGATGAGAAATCGGCTAGTGATTTGACAAGTGATGTTGAGGATGCTACTTATGAGTTGTATGCTCATTATGAGAATCAAGTAGGTGAAGCTTCATCCTCCTCTCAATCAGAACTAGATGAAGATGGTGGAAACGTGGATCTAATTGCGGAGTATATGAAGCAATTGCAAAAAGAAAGAGGTGTAGTCAACAAAACTGAGTTGGATAGGTATTTGAACGAGGAAGTCGAAAGATCAATGGATCCCAAATTTGATGTGCTAGGCTGGTGGAAAGTAAACAGCCACAGGTTTCCAACTTTGTCTAAGATGGCAAGGGATGTATTGGCTATCCCTATTTCTACAGTTTCGTCTGAAGCGGCTTTTAGCACTGGAGGGAGAGTACTGAATGATTTTAGGAGTTCTTTGACTCCTAAGATTGTGGAGGCCCTTATTTGTACTCAGGATTGGCTCCGCGCAGACTCTAGTCCATGTGTAGTTGAAGAAGATTCAGAGGAGATCGACAATATTGATGAAGGTAAGCTTTCTTAGAATAAAAATGCTATTAGTTTTGTTTAATGCTCAAGTTGATGGTGACATTTTATGAATTTCAGAGTTGAGCATGGTGTTGAAGGCTATTAACATATCTGATGTTCCACTTCCTTTTACCAATACCCCTCGTACGAGTCCTATTATACAGGCAAACGCAAACACGTCAGGTAATTGATCTAATAATCTTATACAGAGTTGTGATCTGCCTGTCCATCCTAAACCATTCATTCAAAGTGATCAGAATCTGAAACGTTTTATATCCGTTTTACAGGTGGTATGGGGTTATAAGGATCCGTTTGCAGCCATGGGATTGCTTGAGAGTTGCCCGAATCTGAAGTCCTTCATTTCTTAAAACAGGATGCTGTAGGATGATGGCCACTAGCTAGTGCTTCTGACTTTGTTTTATTTAGAGTAATTTGTGTTTGAAGTTCATGTTGTGTGTGGAAGACGTAGTGATAACTGGGATTAATGTATTTCTAGCCCAAGAGGGCAAGCCAAGACTGTTGCCATTTGGATATTAGGTTGTGTCCTTCTTGTCTCCATGGGTACAGTTGCCATTTGGATATCATTGTCTTAACAGTAGAAGCAATCCCAGGGTACAGATTGTCCAAACCAACTGATACGACCTCAACAAACCTCGACCTGGAAAACCCTGCATCGACGAATATAACCCAGGAGAAGATAACCCAATTGTATCGATCTTGTCCATTGTTCGCCGTCGTCCACTGCTTCCGCCGCCGCCATCTCAACTTCTTCGTGGCCGCCTGTCATCGTTGATCACCGCCGACTGAGGAGGACAGGGATCGGAAACAAGAGGGGGGCCGCCACAGCCACTTTGATCAATTCCCGTTGGCATCGCTCGTCTCGCAATTGAATCTAAAGGGAGATTGAACTTCGCCCGAGAGAGAAGTGAACCAGAATCGGAGTTTCAGATAGAGCGAGAGGGAGAGCCCCAGTCATCGCCTTCCGTCCCCCCAACCGTCTGTGCGCTGAGCTCTGCAGTCGTGTTGCTGGATAATCATTTCAGGTATGGCTCCGCTTTTAGTCCGAACGAGTTAGTCCATAGTTGTATCTGTCGAATCTGTGATTGATGGCCGTGGTTTATGCTCCCATCCGGCTTGAACAGCCCGAAATTCCTCTCCGAAGTTGTGCTATCTGTTTTCTATTTGTTTCATTATGAATTGCGGTCAAATCTGCGGTGCGGGCTAAACCGTACCAAACCGCTAACCTATGCGATTTGGTTTGATCGCACCGATTATATTGCGGTCCAACATGCGGTGCGGTCCAATTAATATGCGGTGCGGTGCGGTTTGTATCAAAGCGGTGCGGTGCGGTGCGAACCGCCAAAAATTGTACCTAAACAATAACATACAGATAAAATGATAATATGAAGAAGAATCCATAATAATGCAACAAAATTCATTAAATCCAAGAAATAAATATGCGGTCGCCATTGGTAATGGGAAAAGTATATAAAAAAAAAATACAATAACTCCGGTAACTCCTTTTTGAAGTTTAGTTACAGCCTCCACTCCTGAATAGCCGCCATTATTTACATAAACTTGGCAGCCCTTCCCAGATCATACTCTCTTCTAATTCTTAGTACATAATTGAGTGTCCCGTCTAACAGATGACGCAAGCATTTGGATCGTCCCCGGGAACGTTGGCGGCGCCGTACTGGTAAGGGTAATTGTTGTACCCCTTCTGTTGTTGATAAGGATAATTGCGGTAATAGTAACCACCGTTGACCTGAGGCTGAGGACTGTAGTAATAGGGGATGACAGGAGGAGGAGCAGAAGGGTTCTTTTTGTCTTTTCCTTCATCTTTCTTAACCGCCGCCGCTGCCGCCGGAGGCGGGTCTTCCTTCTTCTTCTCCGGCTGCTTCGGGGGTCCCACAGAGACCACCTCGGTCGCGAACAGCTTCCTGAGCTTGCTCGCTATCTTCACCGGATCCACGTTTCCGACCACCGTCATCTTCATGTCTTTCATGTCCATCGACACCGAGTCAACGCCTGAAATCCCTGTGACTTTCTTCATGGCTCTCTGCTTGTCTCTGTCGTCGTGCAGATCCAGCTTAAGAACCACAACCTGTTCAACAACAACAAAAATAATCAAGATTAGAAACAGTAATTGAGCGTACAGTCACTCGATCAGTAATCTCCCAACAGAATTGACCCAATAGGGCTTAGGTGCTGAAGAGTTGCTGCTAATTGTAATGGGCTCTTACCTTCATTTTGCCTTTGGACGAGAAGGGGGGAAAACAGAGGAGTGAGTCGAGTGAGCTTCAGAGGATGGATGGAATCGATTAAGGCGAGTTTTGGGAAGTTTGAGAGATTGATGTTAGAGCTTGGATGAGAAGCTTGGTGGGTGAAGGTTCTGGTAATGGCGGTTTATATAAGGAGAATGGTTGCCATAAGTCAATTCGAGGTCGTCGCCGTGGCTTCCTCGCGGCTGCATCAGTCTGTGGTCAAGATTCAAGAAAGAAGGAATACAGTTTATTGTCAAAAAAAAAAAAAAGAAGGAATACAGTGCCTATGTTTGGCCCGGCTTTTAGAAGTGATTTTCGGCTTCAAAAGCTTAAGCAGGGCCAAACACCTCTAAAAGCTCGGCTTTTGAAAAGCCGAAAAGCGCTTTTGTATAACATAAAAGCAGAAGCTCCGATTTGGAGCTTCTGCGAAAAGCTGTTTTGAAAATACAAGATTATCCTTACCATATTTTAATTTTATTTCAGAAAATATAATTTTCCTTCATTTATATCATTTTAAAAATAAAATAAATTATAAAATCATATTATTTAATATAAAAGAAATCTAACAAGATCCATTTTGACTACTTTTTATTGTTTCAAATTTTTATTTATATTTTATATTATAAGTCCTTTATAGTCATTTTACACAACCGCTCATATTAAAAAGCACTTCTAATAGTTTTACAGCCAAACACTAAACTGCTTTTTTTGAAAAGTACTTATCTAAAAGCTCCAGCCAAAAGCTGCTTCTGCAAAAGTTACAGCAGGGCCAAACTAAGCTAGTGATTGATTAAAATTTACATTTAAAAGGGAAAGGGTTACGTGCGTAGGAACTAGGAAGCCCGACAAGGCAAAGTGATGACGCGTTTTCCCGACTTCACTTGTCGCCTTCTTCCTCGGAGCTCCTTTCTTGGACCTTCTCTACTATCTGTTCGCTGATTGGCTAACAGTGAGCGTTTACTTTTCTTAGGGTTGTTATTGGGCCAGGGATTTGAAGAAAGAGCTGATAAAATTTTGACGGGAACGGATTGTGAACTCTTCTCGTATTGGGCCTATAACGGGAACAAGAACTTACACTTTTTTCAACCAAGCCCAACGAGGTTACAAGGCAGTAGCCCAAAGGAAAGGAGTGAATAAACTGAGGTAGACATTTGGGCTTCGGGGCCACTTCAGAAGCTAGACCTTCCGAGGAAAGTGTTCAACCAAGCCCGACTTCAGTTTAAGCGGCTATTATTGTTAGTTTGTTGCCATTGTGTAGTGGCGGATCTAGAAATTCAACATAGAATTGTATTCTCTCCAAAATTAATTTTAATTAAATATTAAAATTAAATTAAATAATTATTGAATATGAAAATATCTGAATAATAAAAGATAATAAAAGTTCACATGTGTTTCTTAAAATGGTAAAATACATTTGGTGTCTATACTGCTCAACAAATAACTCTCGACATATCCAACTAGACAAGGGTACCCCCCTCATTGGGTTAATCGTTAGGTTTTGAAAATAATTCGGGAAAAGAATAACATATGACTATTATATTTGGATCTAAAATAAAATAACAATTAAATTGTAGTATAGTCAAAAATATATTTACTAATACTGGCAGTGTTCCAAGTTTAAATCACATAGACTACTACTTAAATATTATTTGTACCAATACGCAAACTACTACGGAAGGTTGGATAATCCTTTTTCCAAATTTTAAGAGTGTCCCACTACCACTTAAACATTTTTTTTGCTCATACGCAACTACTATCGGAGGTTGAATAATCATGTTTTCAAATTTTAGGGGTGTCCCGATGCATGTATCCGCCACTGCTTGTGTGTAGGAGTGAAGGGTGGCAATGAGCTGAGTCGAGTGTAATTTTTATTTAATTTGAATTTGAATTTGGTTTGGTTAATAAACGATCAACTTGTTTACCAAAAATTTGGCTTGTGCTTGACTCTAGCTCGAATAATCAATTAGCTTGCGAGATCAGGTCGAGCTAAGGTGTCGTAACTTTTAGTTAGTTATTTTTAATTGTTGATATCGTCGTACCAACTAGTAACTAGGTTAATCATGTCATCGTCTCTTGAATAAGTGAAACGTGAGCAACCAAGGGATAAACATACCGACAAAACTACAAAAGATCTCGTATATGCAATTATGCATGTACCGTAAGAATGTGAGGTTGAAACATATCCCGATAGAAAAGCATGAAGCTGGAATCCAAATGTGCGAAGGAAGATGATAAATGAAGCCAAAAGTTAGGCTTCGTGACACCACTCATTTCACTTATCGAAACATTAGGCGAAACCGAGGAGTTAGGCCATCCTCTGTAAACAACGTTACCTTTCCAATACGAGCCAAAGGTGAAAGGAAAAGGCGGAAAAGGGATCGACCCGCTTTAGCTGGATCCAAACGTTAACTCTTGTTTACTTCCAATATGGCAAATTACATCGTCCAGCGTCACAGCCCACACAACCTCAAGTCGACGCCAAGCAGAGGGAGTCATTGGAGTGACAGTTTCATGTGGGTGGAAATGCAGGAGCAGAGAGGGAAGCCGTCGTGGGACCCACTTCCGAAAATATCTTCCCCAATCAATAGCCTGCTCGTAAAAACGACTGTACTGTACGAGTATCAATGCCGCGCCACGTGTCCTTCGCTCCGGCGGGCCAAAAGCTTCAATGGTATATATATATATATGTTTTGGACCTTTGGGCCGACCTTTTATCCCTTTTACTCCGACGCCGGAGAGCGTTGGATAGTGAGATGGGAAAGGTGTGATCAGGTGGGAGGGGGTCCACCGTAAGCAATTTGAGCTACCGGCTCAACGAGTTCAAATGAAGCCATTGGCTTATCAAATTGTTGGTCGTTGCCCGTTGGACCCAACGAGGGGAGTTGTTTGGTTCGTTTTGAGATCACTTCTCTTTGTAGTTCCTTTTACTATGATTTTTTGTATGATGAAAAATCAAAATCAGGTAGTATTGGTGGAGTCAGAAATTTAAATGAAATGCTAAAAATCTATTTATAGAAAATTTGAATTGGCGAGAAAGGACTAAAGCCTACAAACTACTATATTTTTCAAAATTATAATGAAATTTACTTTTAATTTTACATTATTTTGAGAGTTAAAAGAGGGCTATATCCTTCTCTACCATCAACATGGTTCCACCACTGTCATGCAACACTGCATTAATTGATCTTTGGTTGGTTGAAGTTAGGGCCTGTCCAACCAAGCCGTAATACAATATTAAAAATTAGGACTCTATAATTTGTGGTTCGCCGCAATCAGGGTTGGCGTGTTATTCCTATGCATTGGATTCAATCTTTGTTTTTCTCAACCCGTCAAGTTTCACATTTAGTTTTAAATTTTGTCTTTATAAAAATATATAAATTTAAAGATATTTGAATAAGAATCATACTAAAATGTCTAAATGGCAAAATTTTGTTGATTAGATTGACCCAAGCTGACATAATATACAACTTTACCCAAGCTGTCTAATATGGAGAATTGAGCTAGACCTCAGATTCTTCTAAAATATTCAATTCGTGTTCTTAACTACAAATCGTGAACCGACTTTATCAGGGCTGTCTACACTCTATAGTCCATCGCTTAATTAAAGAAACAACCAGTTATTCACTATAGGGGAATCGGCCCACCATGGCCACGTGGCGTCTTGTAGTTCGACGAGCGGAACATTGACTCAAGAGAGCTCGAGAGCAGGCGATTATACCCCGGCGCCTCATATAAAGACCAGCCTCGCTGTCTCAACGAAAGCCGCATTTCTCCCGTCACTTCTAAAGCTAGAAGCCCGAAATTCCTTTTTTTTTCCCCCAACTTCCTCTCACAGCGCCAGAAATGGTGTCGATGAACCCGAACCCGGCCGAAGGGTTCTACCTGGATCCTAACGGAATGGCGCTCCCCGGGCTCGGCCCTTTCGCCAGCTCTACCGCGGAGGCCTCCAACCCGCCGGCGAGTTCCGCCGTCGAGGATCCGAGCAAGAAGGTCCGGAAGCCTTACACCATCACCAAGTCGAGGGAGAACTGGACCGAGCCGGAGCACGATAAGTTTCTCGAAGCTCTCCAGCTGTAAGTTCTTCTCTGCTGTAGTTTCGACTCTCCAGTGTCGGTTCGAGTTTGTCCTTAAGTTCAATTTAGGGTTCGTCGTGTGAAAATGGAGCTCGAGGCGCAGAATCTAGGCCGGCGTATTGCGAATTAGGCTATAGTTGGTGGCTACGCGAGATCGGTTTTAGTGAATTTGGCTGTATTGTGGAGTTGGAGCTGTTACTTTGATGATTATGGAGTTGGATACGGCGGATTGAACTTTTTTATGATATGGAGACACTGTTCCACATTTCGATTTCGGATTCTGGTATTCCAGTGCATTTTCCTTATATTATTGAAGTGCGTAACCTGAGACTCCCACTAGCAGTGGGAGAAATGTGTCCTTAGGAAGGTGATGACTGTTTCTGGAAGCTACCTAGGGAATTGTGTAAGGCTTATCGAGCTGATGATGTAGGGAATTGATTTCTTCACTTCTTTAAAAGGTTAATTGAGCTACTGGTATAGGTAGATGGTGGCTGTTGCTCAAAGCTTAATTCATAATTCTTTGAGCTTTATCCAGCTCATGATGTTGATGTCGATGGACTGAAACAATAGTGAAAAACATCTGAATGCAAGATGTAATTGTGAATTTCCGGAACCTCAGAAGTGCTGCCATGATAACTCAATAGGTTGTCTTAGTCTCCTAGAGTTGGTGGTGATGCGATTTAGCAGTCAGATCCAGATTACTGTTCCGTTTCCCAACACTATTACACGTGATTATGTTCAAATAGTTCCTATGGCATTTTTGTCAGCAGAATGAACTCCTTGATTTTGACTTTATTTGGCAGTGTTGTCTTTAGTATGCTTTTGTGGCTTTTGTTGTCGGTTGGTAACTTTTAGCGCACGCTCCTTTGTTCTTGTTATCCTTGTAGTTTCGACCGAGATTGGAAGAAGATTGAGGCATTTATTGGATCCAAGACTGTTATTCAGGTATGTTACAACTGTTTCGTGGTTTAGTGAGGAACAGTCTCATAATGTGTGTTCAAGGGGTAGAGATATATCTTTACTTCAAGTTTTAATAATTACTGCTGTCATTAAAACAAGAATGCTTTCATTATGAATTTTGTTATTTCATTGGAAGCTAAAGGAGTAATGAGATTGCTTGAACTGTGTTACTCTAGTTTCTGGTCATGGTGTCTTCAGATCTGGAACTTAATTTTGTACTATGTTATTTTCATGCAAGATTACGTTCAGTGTTGTTGGTATCAGCCTGCTGAAATTTAGAATGTACCTTTTGCAGATACGCAGTCATGCTCAGAAGTACTTCTTAAAGGTTCAGAAAAGTGGAACGGGTGAACATCTGCCTCCTCCCCGGCCTAAAAGGAAAGCTGCTCATCCATATCCTCAAAAGGCCTCAAAAAGTGGTAAGTTGTGTTGACTTTTGTATTGAGTATTAAATAGCTTGGAAATGTGCTGCTGATAAGGATTGTATCCCCTTATGCTGTGTCTTTAAATAACAGCAGTTGCAGTGCTTGTGCTTCCACAATCTTCTGGATCTGTTCAGTCATCATCTGCTCTTCTTGAGCCCAGTGTTCCACCCGACTCCCCTTCAATGCCATTGAACCCTATTACAAGTGCAGCTGCAGTATCCTGGAAAAACAACATCCCAGCAGTGTCTTTGTCGAACCAAGGAAAAGGTTTGTAAAATCAAAGCTTACTCATCCTTTTTTACTGGTTTTTTGGTAGTTGGCTTTTGTTACAATTAGCAAAAAAGGTGGGAAACTTTGGTCACCAGTGTTTCTTTGTCTTTTCTGTCTTGTAGCCCCATCTTTGTCAAATAATTGTTGTAGCAGCACTGAGAGTACTCCAAGAACAAAGCAAGTTGTTGAAGTGGCCGAGCAAGCAAATCCGTTAAGAGGTACATATTCAATGCCAATTCTTACTACTGTGGACTAGCCAAGTTGGGTACTGTATTTGTCATCTATTAGCATATTGGCTTTGGAACCGTCTTAGGTAGCTTTTGTAGCATGGTTATTTGACTAAACTCAACTCTCTATGCCATTTATGGTGAATGAGTACATGAATAACTGTCTATCCGTAGATTTATAAGTGGCATTTCTGCCTTTCTGTCTCTCCATATGGAGTGAGATGTCCTCTAGCGAACATGGTCTTTGGGCTTTTCTTAGTCTTCTTCAGCCTTTAGAGGAGATAGATTAACAGGGTTTCTGTTCGTCTTTCATGGAGCCGCCTATTGGAGTGCACTTAAATTTTGCATTAGTTGTATAGCTGGGAGGTGTTTGTTACCTTTTTCCCCATTATATATTGGAGATGTTCCCAAGTTTGAACCTTGGCAGGTAAATAGTTTTGATCTGCCACTACTACTATCTCTTTGGGCATGTGCTACTGCATTTTCTTCTTTGAACTGCTACTCCAAGCTCGGATAACAAGGCAGTCAGCATTACATATAATTTAGGACTGTTTAATGGTCCTAGTTGAACAATGATTGTTTCCGGTGGAGTTGTACTCACCTGATCATATTTGACAGCTTTTCGAACTTCGGATTTCATGCTGCTATCTATGCCAATGTGATCATGCAATTGCTTTTCTCAATTCCTTGCCACTAAAATGCTTTTTTCTATTGTGACTAAACTATTTCTGGGTGCTCTGCGGTTTTGTTTGATTGCAGTTCTGCCAGACTTTTCGCAAGTCTACACCTTCATTGGCAGTGTCTTTGATCCAAATGCTGTTGACCATTTGCAGAAGCTTAAGAAAATGGACCCTATAGATGTTGACACGGTATGATTATGCGAATCGGCTTCTGTAGCACAGTTTTACGATCTTTCTGAACTGTTCTTTATTGTCAATATTTATTGAAATTCTTTCTATGCATGTGACTTTTCTGTGTACTGTTATTACTTATTAGATTAGCAGATTGGTTTTCATAGCATGACTTTTTTCCTATCCTGTCCTTTTCAGACGCTGTTGCTGATGCGAAACCTATCCATTAATTTAACCAGTCCTGATTTCGAGGATCATGTAAGTGCCTTTTACACTTGATTTCACTTTCCTGCTCTAGTGACCTATTCGTAGTTTATTTTATTCGGGCGTCTGCATAATCATCTGTCTGTCTTGTCACTAGTGCCCTACACCAGCTGCCATTGTTCTTAAATTTGTAGTCTCCTCTCCCTTTCAGAGTGAAGCTTTACTGTAGATTTTCATGTAGTTTCAGTTAGACCTAATATTCATTAGTTCCCTAAATACTAAATAGTGTAGTGAAGCAGGGGAAAATGCAGTTTTACAGTCTTGCTTATTTCGTAGAAATGCTACAGGCTGGTTTGTAGCATCCCTGCATATACTTCCACCTTATAATTAACTGGACTTCATCTCGTGAAATTCCCTATAACATGTTTCATAACGGTTTCCATTCATCTTCACATTACGTTCAAATTTTGCGCATCAGTAAAAAGCAGGAGTTATAAAGATCATTAAGTGCATCAAGAAATGTTTAGTTGATCGAACTCATTAGTATTTGACACCTTCATTTCTGTCCCTTTCCCGTAAGTGGTAATCATTTATGGTCTCGTGACATGGTGTAATTTTGCATGGCAGAGAAGGCTGCTTGCTTCCTACGACACAGATGCGAACAGGATATGAACTGTTGCTTGATCCGGGCGAGGTGAATTGGCCGGACTGTGAGGGTCAGTAAAAGCTTCTACCACCAACAATTAAAGGTGCACGACGCGCTCTGTAACCGCCCACCAGTTCCCCCTCTTTGGCCAGGCCTTCGGCCTTGTTGTAATCTCACAGGTAGTGTGTATATGGGATTTGAAGAAGAGGAGAAACAATAACTACCAGCAGCTGCTGCTGCTCCAGAGCGCGAGTGTATAGTTTCTGGTTCCGGTAAAGGCCTTGCTGTACAGCTCCTCCTGCGACGGAGGAAAGAAGGAATTCACTCACCTAATTAATTAGAGTATGTAATTAAAGTTTTGATCACGAGCTTGTTCAGCCGTTGTTAAGTGTAATTAATGCATCCTCCACAATCACCTTTAACGCCTTCCTAATTGCACTAGTGTAATTAGTGCAACCTGGGGCGTCAGTCTGAGATTTTGCATCCCGGTTCTTTGCTGTAGCCTGTATTTATAATTATAAGGTCAAACTCAGTATTTTTTTCTTCTTCTGTTCATATATCGAGCTCCTAAGTTCTGACTTCGAGGGAACTAATGCGAAAAACTATTCAAGCAGCAGAGTCGGGACATTAACGGAACTTGATAGATTATCTAGTGTCTCGGCTTAGTGAGTGAAATGGATTTACCTAATGTGATAACTGAAATTGCTTGACTATGCAGAACTGTCATGCACATTTAGCAAATTCACGCAGCTGGATCGTATTTTCGAGCAGAATTATTGAGATTCCTGCCACTCGGATATTCAGAATGGAAAGACACCTGATTTGGTACAGGTTTTTGAAGAAAAAAAGTTGAAAAAAATGATTTGTGTATTCAAGTTTCCTGCCCGAGGTTGACCAGATACCATGACAGAATGAAGATGCACAAATTCGACTCAGCCCCAGTGGAGATGTTAAAAGTATACTATTGTAAAGGTCTTCGCTACTTTGAACATTGACTACCATAGGCTACTATCCGCTTCACATGCTCCCCTTGTTTCTTTCCAGAGTTGGGAAATTCCTAATCCTCAGCTAATTCAACTAGGACCCTAATTTTGGTACTTCTAACCAACATATGGTTACGTATCTAGCTCAGAGACTAACTCTAATCAGAAGTGTCTGATTTCTAAAAGCAAATCCTGACTGCAATGAGGTGTATAAGACGGTAACTAGACATGTTGCTCACCTACGACGTCCAATAAGATCTAAGCGTTGCCGAACCAAGGCCACCCCAAGTTCTGATCTGCAAACAAAGGCAAAAATAACTAACCAATTAGTGTAGACTCAGTTGAAATCAATCACTTGAGGCAAAACATATGAAGTCAGGTTTTTACTCTACTTTTTCCTTTTACCTGGTCTGGCTAATAGGTTCGTATAGATGTGGACCTGATTACCAAAGGGGTAACACATGCTAGGAGGATAGGGCCCCATCTGATGTATAGGATGCGGCGGCGGCCGAGGAGGCAGGACAGGGAACCATGGCCCCATACCAGGAGGAGGTTGAGGAGGAGCACATATCATTGGTCCCATAGGCTTTGGAGCATAAACACATTTGGTCTGCTTCTTGTTCTCTGATTTCCTCCGACAGCCAAGCAACGGTGGGCAGGACTGCTGCTTACACAGTTCGCCGCTGGAGGCTTCATCCATTGGACATAAGAAGTCGTCGATAGTAATCAAACTGTCTTCGTCCGGCCAGCAGATTTCATCGCTTGTATGAGGCTTCTCATGGAAGTGGGGGGCAGCTGAGTCTACTAAAGTTTCCTGTTCAGTTAAAACTTCTGGAGTCACTTCATCAGCATGCTCATCGTCCTTAAGGATCGTCTCATTGCAGCTTGAAGCGTCGACTTCGGATGGAAGAACCATGCCATCGTCACGGGAGGCCGGAATTGGTCTCTGCCCTCCTCCAAGGTCGAACTCGGAGAAACCCAGCATCGAGAGGTCCTGGCTACACTGCAGGTCAGTAGACTGGCACGCAATTTCTTCCTCTATTGAAGCAAGGAGATCCTGATAGTCGGCATCATCGATCTCTGGATTGTCTTGCGTAGGACCAGAAGGGTTTGCACAAATAGTTGCTTTGTTGTCCCATTCATGCAGTTGTTGGTGATAGACAGAGGCAGGAGAGGTAGATGGGTGGGACTGGCCTGTACCTTCGTTACTTTCTGAAGGGATACTTGTCAATGGATGCTCGTTCAGCTTTGTGCCGTGATCCATATGTGCTTCTCCTGTTCCATGTTTGCCGTCGATACTGGACATGCTATTGCCAGCTGGCTTAACCCAAGATAGGAAGTAAGGACAGGATATGGTGGTCTGGCCAGCCTTACTCTGCAAAGGAAACATACAGAATGTCAGCTTATGCTAAACATACTAAACCCTACAACTTCCAAGCTTTGGAAACCAAACACGAGTGCCTCTTTTTATGGCTAACAGAAGATGCTGTAAATAAACTGAAAACATAATGCACTGGTTCCTGGAAGACTTCTACATTTGCAGGAAGGAGAGCTGACCAAAGTTCTTTCCCCAATTTATCATTGGTACTTGATTTTATCAACCATCATTATATAGATAAAGCCAAAAGTTACGTTCACTAGATGTTTGAAAGCTTGTCTATCTCCATCATACTTGATTTTGTTAAGTTCACTAAGCCAAAGTTAAGCTTAGGGGTAGTAAGAACTTTATGGGATTAAAATACCTTCAGTTTCTCGGATGTCCAACTTTCGTCAACTCCGTACTTCTGGGAATCTCCTGAGCCTGTGGCGTTACTTGGGTCCTGGTTTTCTTTCTGATCATCTGAAATGTTCTTCTGAGTTTCCTGAGTTACTTGACGATCACTCCACAACGATTCAGATGTTTCTGAGCATATTCATAAAAGAGAAGAATATTTAAGACAATTGTAGGCTGTAGCCTGTAGGCAAAGAAATGCAGGAACTTGCAAAAGAATATAACTCCATCTGAGAAGCTTACCCTTCTGTTTTTCCACTTCAGTCCTCCGTGGTCTCAAGGAATCAAATGTTTTCTCTCTGCCAATGTCCATTTTCTCTGTCCCAGAATGGAGATCCATCTGAAAGACACAAAACCCGAAAATTCATAACAGATCAGGATGTCAACTTCACGCGTATCCTTAAAATTCCTAGGCTTACCCTGTATAGATGTGGAGGCCGATATGGTGTAGCACTTCGGGTTAGCAGATGACAGGTACTACCCTCATGAATCTTTGGAGCAGAGTCAACAGCTATAGGTTCAGGTGCTGGCAGGAGAGTACCCTTCCCTAAAATTCCACTTTCAGGATCGTTCTTCCCTAGAGTTCCACTTTCAAAAGTATTCTTCCCTAAAATTACACTTTCATGATGATTCTTCGCTAAAATTCCATTTTCAGGATTGTTCTGCCCTAGAGCTCCACTTTCAGAAGTATTCTTCCCTGAAATTACACTGTCAGGATGATTCTTCCCTAAAATTCCATTTTCAGGACCAACTCTCCAACTAGTTGATAGAATGTTGCCATCCCATCTCGCAAACTCTGCATTTCAACAAAGTAGGATAGTATTACACAGGTCCAGCTGGACCATATACATTAACTTTCGAAGAGGGAAGACACAAGAAGGGAAGCAACTACGCATGGCAAGCATCAATGAAATGATGCATTTAAAGAACATCAGGCCATCACAGAACCAACCACAAACACCATTCACCTCTTCTCTGGAGCTAAGGTAGTAAAATTTTATCTCAACAACCACTATAATGCAAGTTGCAAACAACTTTTATTAGATAGATCGTTAAGATTTGGAACATCCACATTGGTAGTCTATATGAGGATAGAACTATCCCTTCTATTGGAATTCAGAATTCAGTTTCCTTCCAAGGCTCTCACCTTTTGGTGGAAGGCGTAAACCAGCTCGGTTGAGTAAGGGTAGAGCAGCTACAAACAACCTAAACTATACACTAAAAAGTAGTTAACCAAGTGAAGAAGGAAGTCTTATGAATTCCTATCTACTTACTTCCATTCAAGAACCAATTCAAAATTGTCTTAGACTGATTTGCATGGTTCAATCTATGGATCATCCCAGGCTACTACTCACAATCACTGTAGGACTGGTTCTAAGTTCGTAAGCATCAAATATTAAAGAATAGACGGTTGCATAAGCTTGTAAACTCAAATTCACGATTCTACTAGAGCGTTCACAGAACTAAAACCTGAAAGATCAGAACAAGAGATGAAATAAAGTCAAATGCGGAACAAAAGCTATGCCATAGATCGTACCAGACTCGGTCTTCGGCTGCGGCCAAATTGTAGGGCGTTCGTCAAGCTCACTGTCCAAAGATTATAAGGAATTAAACAACAGATGCAGTGATAGCTGAACTTATATGAGCACTTCAAAGCTAACGCGCACAGGTAGATCGCAATCTTACCGCAATATCTCGGAATCGAAGTTGCAAGGCAACCTCTGGCATATATCCAACATAGCTATGGACAAGAGAAAATCCGCTGAATACGCAAACTTGGAGCCTCTGTAAGCGAACGAAAGAAAGTATAAACGGATGTTAGCTCAGGAAGGAAGAAAAAGAAGGCCGTTATAACTGAAAAGCAATAGACGTGTTTGATTGCCGAGAAAATCGTTTTCCCGTCCGTCGCGTCAACTTTCTCGGCGAAAAAAAGAGAGACTAAATCAACATGAGAAACTTGACGATTGAGAGAAACAGAGTCGAAATTTTACTTGCTGAACGATGGCGCAAGGTCTCCATCATCTGCTCCTGATTCCTCCAGCAAGCCTTCAGACGGAGCTCCGGCGCTCATTTTCTTGAAAGCTCCAAGAACTGTGCCAGCTAGGGACGAGTTCGTCGTCGCGAAGTCTACTGAGAATCAAAATCCCGGCGCCGAACGATCAAAGACGTCTAATCTAAAATGCAGTTGACTAACCCTAACTCTTCAAAACCTCTACCCCGGAAACCTCAGTTTTACGACTCTGCTGTGCGATCAAAAGAACGGAAACGGCGAGAGAACTACAATCGGAGTGTGAGGAATCAACCGGCGGAGGTTGATTTCACCAGCAAGACCAAAAGAACATGAAAATACTCCATGAGTGAGCTCTATAGACTGCTAAAATGTCTTTGGCGAGAGAGAAATGGAGGGAAAATTAGCGTGATGGAGGGAGGGGGAATAACTCCGGGGCTCTGTCACTCTTCCGACTGGGTAGAAAAGGAAGACTGAAGCTGGCAGTAGTAGTACCTGCGTTTCTTGCCATTTTCACAGATTAAGCCACTGGCTAGTTGTACGTTTTGCTAGGCCTATAGACATAGGGCCCCGCTTTTAGGAATTTTAGTTGGCTGTGATCAGCTGCGGACAGTCTCTTTTGGGGTAAAAGTTGATCAACGGCAGAAGATGAAGCAGATTGTCATTTGCATAGTGATGTGGAGTGTGGACGGTCTAGAATGAATTCGAAGTTGGCTCATATGCTTTCACGGATGGAGCAAATAATTAGCTCCAATGGATTGACTTGTAGCCCACGCAGGCACCAAGGGGTAGAGAGTAGAGACTAGAGAGTCCCTTCTTTTTTTAATAGAGAGACTAGAGAGTCAGAGGGGAAATCTTACATCAAGTGATGGGCTAACAACAAATATATGTTTTGATTTCTTTTGGCTCGTGTTAACAAAATTTCTTATAATATTCAGTTATGTTTTTCATGAAATAAATTTATTTAAATTAGTTTGTATTCATACAAAGAACCTATTTACATCTAATTCTCCAAATCAATCAACTAAATTTTGTATGCAATCTCATCATTTAATCACAGAATCTAACAATCTAGCTACAATAAATATTTTTAATGAGCTTAGCAACTTGTGCGCAAGGACCTAAGCATAGAAATAAAATATTTTTCACTTGACAAAATACACTTATATAGTCAAAACTTTCACGTTTGTGCTATTTATAGCCATTTTAGCGAAATACCACTTGTAGCCACTTCCGTCCAATTATTTGACGGTGTCATCTAACGGATTGAGTGAACTAACAGAAATGATGATGTGGCAACTAATAATGCTTATGTGGAATTTCTTTAATAGTAAGTAATGTTAAATAAAATATAAATATTAATAAACCAAAAAAAATCTCACGCTTCTTCTCCCTATCCCTAATCTCCGCTTCTTCTCCTCAAGCAACCCACCAACCGCTCACTCCTTCCGGTGGCCAACCTACATCCGCTACCCACCGCAGCTTGTCACCACCACCGTCGCCGTAGCTTACCCTGATTCCATGGATTATTTGGCTCCATCATCGCCTCTGTCCTCTTCCTCCACCATCACATCGCCTTCATTCTCTCCAGATCCCATCTCCTTCTTCTCCTCATCTAACGAGTCGAACGTCGCTGCAAGTGCTTACGGGCTGGACAAGAAGGGCTCGCAGAGAAGAAGCTCTCCCTCTCTCCACCAACCAGCCGACCGTTGAACCAGCATCTCTTCCCTGCACAATTCGCCCCCAATATAACTTGCACAATCGACGCCCCCCAACGCAAATTTTCAATTAGGGTACCAGGTTGTTGTCTGAGGAGATCTAGAGAAGTTGGCGATTTGGAAGAAGGCACCGCCGGCGAGGACGGCGAGGAGCTCGGTTCGGTGGTTGAAGAGAATCTCGAACCCGACTGAAACCCACCACAGCAGTAGAGTGCCCAAGAAGAACTTTCCAATCTTGCAGTCGATTTGGTTCTGGGCCGGCCTTGCCATTCCTATTTTCGAATTTGATTTTCTTCTTTTGTGCAAAAGAGAGTTCGGTTGTGGGCTGGATCTTATGTTTCCCTTTATTCTCAGAGATGTTGGCATGGCGACGTTGGCGAGGAGCCGAGGCCGGGTATTGGATCTCTTTTCATTGGCAAACTGGTGTAGGGGGATTTGCGGTGGAGGAGGAAGCAAGGATTTGCGGGAAGAGGAGTAATCACCGAATCGTTCAGAAAGTAGAAGAAGATTGGTGGGTAATGGGGAGGAGTAATAGATGAATGTGGAAGATGATTCGTGGGGAAGAGAAAATTTGGGGAAGAACCCTAATTTCGATTCCGGCCAAAAGTTGGGGAAGAAGGATCGCGGCTCGTGCGAATCAGGTGGGAATATAAGGGTATATTTTTTAGATATAATTTTTATTTTTTTAAATAATAAATAATTTAAATATCTGAAATGTCACTATTTGCTTAGTTGTCGCTGACGTGTCCACTGAATTGGCGCCTCGTCAGCCGACCGTCAAATAAGTTGACAGTGTGATTAACACCGTTATAGTTTCTAACGAAAATGGCTATATCTGTCACACAACATCTTTCAAAAGTGACTATAGGTGGTATTTCGCCAAAAGTGGCTATAAGTGGCACAAACGTGAAAATTTAGATTACACGAGTGTATTTTGCCTTTTTCACTTTAAACATGTCAACTATTCTTGCAGAAAAAGAGAAAGACGTATATAGGTAGTGCGGATTTTATTTAGGAGAGGGGTCGAGAGAAGATAAGAGAATAAATTCTGTTTATCAACATTAAATATTAATAATAGCAAATAAAACAAATTAATTTCAATAAGTTATAAACGAATGCTAATAAATTATATTAATTCTTTTTAATTATATAGTTTTAGCTCCTACCAAGTAGTTGATTGGTTTTTACCCTAATATGCACTAGTAGATCTGAGCCCGCCCGTTAGGCGGATGAATTCCATCAATGATACGCATAACATTAGCAATTGTCTGAAGTATAGTTAGTAAATACTATGTTTAATACACGTATATTTACCTGTATGTATTTTATCCGTTTAAAACTTCTGTATCCGTATTATTGTGAAGTCGTTTCATTTTTTTCGTTTATTTTGTCAATTCAACGCCTTAATCAGAATTGATAATGGTGAGAAGGTTTATGAATTTATTATTCAATTCTTATTTTACGTATTTGTTTATTCTTAGAGTGATGAAATGTAGATCATAATCTCCATCTAGAGACTAGAAGTTCAAAGTTTAGTACCAGTAGCTAGATAATTTCTTTCTTAGGTTCTTTTCAAGGAAACGATAAAAATATTTATGATATCATACCACCTTAGATCTAGGTTTATGATGTATAGTTTTCTTTTACCATAGCAGGAAACCGACAACTCTGTTTGCTTTCTTTTTTCATAACTTTACTTGGTTTTGATCAATTATTAGTGAGATAGTGCGATGATAATTCTTATCAAAACTTGCTTTGACAGTAACATATTGTTTCGTTATGTTATAACTCCTTCAGTATTATTTTGAGTTATTAAATCAATTCATACTATTATTGAGTACTATATTTATTGATTCTATGCCTCGAAAATATAATCACCTTGGGGGATCATCTTATTAACAAAATAGTGTTCAAGTGCGATTTCAAACAACCAAGTAAAATGATTGGAATTTATGTGCATAATCTCCTTTAGTTACAGTTTGCACAAATCTCAAGAGCTATAGTTAAGAAATTTTCAATTTCTCACAAATTTAGCAGACTATATCTCATTCGTTTCAACTATGATTTTGAATGGGTTAGAAAAACCATATTAATTGCAACTTGCCAAAGAAAAGTTGAAGAAGGATATGACGAGCTATTTATAAGAATTACAAAAACATCAAAGACAATAATAATTAGGTAACAATATATCTCTACTATTCAATTGTTTTTAACTTCAAGTTAATTCATTCATTAGAGAGAAAACAACGTACCCACTAAAATATAAAGCTTTCAATCAAATAATGTATCTCAATTGTTGATATTTTATAGTTTTAGGTTTACCTGTGAGTTGTAGACAATATTTGTTTAATCTAACTTTATTCTTTTGCATTACGAGGAAGCTAGATATTTTGTAATGATTATTGAGAAACTACTCAAAGATAGTGACAAAATGAGAGAACCTTCACACCCTCATCTCATACAAACTGAGAGCATGAAGTTAAACTTTCATATGAAGCTCACCGATTACAACACCGCGAACCCCATAAGTGGGTACACAATTTTGAAGATAATGGAGGATGAAGAAGAGCAATCTCAAACAAAGTTCATGACATGTACCGGGTAAATTTAAGTTCTTGAAAATGGAGTTTCAACAATTCAAAAAAAATTGCCATTAAATTTTTGCATTCAGTGAAATGCACGAGAAGAAGGAAGAGTATACTAATATCAAAGGTAATGAATTCAGTGATGGAGATAATGACGTTATTGAGATAAAGAAAGAGGTTATTGATGGAGGATATAGAAATATTGTGATGGGAGGAAAGAGCGAATGATTGATGATATTTGTGGTTTATATTAGGAAAAATTCTAGCACCGTGAAAAGTTGTTTCTTATTTTTGAACATTTTACCATTAAAATGTTTTCCAATGAGATGCAGGAGAAGAAGGAAAAGACTATTGATGGTGACTATAAAATTTCATTAAAGAAAGAATAAAGATGAAGTTGTGTGGAGGAGATACTTTTGATGGTAGAGCTATCAAAAGGAAGTCCAAAAAGAAATTGCAGTAATTTCTAACAGAAATAGTAAATTGAAGTACGTTTTGAAAATTAAATTTTTATACAAATCGGTTACCAGCATGAGTTGTGTTGTTTACATTTGAAAAGAACTTTTGCCCATGAATGATCAAGACGTTGTAAAACTTCTAATATAATTTTAAAAATATTTTTAGTAATTGAATAATTTAATTTCTTTCATTATAACAAATAGATGATTCGTATAATTACTATTAGTGTTTATACGATTGATGTAATTCATCCGGCCAACGGGCGGGCCCAACTCTAGTTAGATGGGTTGCTAAGAAGAACCTCTATATTGTTTGGATTATTATTATGCAATCCCTTGTTATAAGGAATACATTTCGAGTTACAGGGCCCTAACTTAAGCTCTACAGGCCCATGACACTGAAGGCAACTCGATAAGGGCCGGACCAGCCCATCTAATACTGATATATATACACCTCGGCCCCGTTTCTTTAGGGTTTCAATCCCCGTCTGGTAAACCCTCGCGAAGGAAGAGCTCCTCTGCATAATCTGCAACTACAGCCGCTAAGGGTGCCTCTTTTGTTATTCACCTTCCATCTGCAGCCATGGTAATTAGCTTCGCCTCTGCATCTTCTATCTCCCATCTTCCGTTACTTGCTTTACTCCATGAACCGGCCCCTCACCAACTTTTCGATGTTGCTGTCAGATTATCTCAGAGAAGAACAGAAGAGAAATCTCCAAGTACCTCTTTCAAGGTTTGTCCCTTGTATCCACTCCTTTCCTTTTAATTCACTTGCTCGAAGCTGTTAGGAGGATTGAACGAATGATGTTAGTTGATGGACAATTGGTATCTACTGGAACATTGAAATGGGTTATTGTGAATATAGTTAGGTCAAAGATTGTCTTAATTGTATCGTGTTTGTGGATGAAAAATGTCAGTTGGGATGTTTTGTGCCTTCTGGAGACTGATAACTGATGCAAAGCTTGTTGATTGTTGCTGTTGATTGACATTCAGAGGGAGTGTGCTTTGCCAAGAAGGACTTCAACCTTGCAAAGCACCCTGAGATTGATGTTCCCAATCTCCAGGTGATTAAGCTGATGCAGAGCTTCAAATCCAAGGAGTATGTCCGTGAGACCTTTGCCTGGATGCACTACTACTGGTACCTTACCAATGAAGGGATTGAGTTCTTGAGGACATACCTCAATCTTCCATCCGAGATTGTGCCTGCTACTTTGAAGAAGTCTGCTAAGCCTCTTGGCAGGCCCATGGGAGGTCCACCTGGTGACCGCCCAAGGTACATTTCCCCCTGAGTTTGGTTTGCAATATACATGGATTTTGTGTCCTGAGATTCCCATTGCTTATACAGACTTGTTTGCCTTTCAATTGATTCGTGTTTGTTCATATAATTACTTGTAGGGGTCCTCGTTTTGAGGGAGACCGTCCAAGATTTGGTGATCGTGATGGGTATCGTGGTGGTCCACGTGGAGGTGGTGATTTTGCTGGTGGTGAGAAGGGAGGTGCTCCCGCTGACTTCCAGCCATCATTCAGGGTAATGCGACTTTCTCTATGAAGTTATATGAAGAATGCTATGCCTATGTTTGATTCAGTAGTGTTAAGATATCTGGGTTTGCTTTCCTAGTTAAGTGCATCTATCTTTCATGGTGGATGTGATACAACTCAACAATTGTCTCTCTACTTCATTCCCTCTGCATTTGTACTCTTTGGTGCCAGTGCCAATGGTTTAATTCTTATCATTTGTTTTTTTCCTGTGGTTTCCAGGGCTCTGGTGGAAGGCCTGGATTTGGTCGCGGTGGTGGCGGTTATGGCGGTGGTGCACCACCAGCTCCAAGCAGTTCCGGTGGATTTGCTTAAGAATGTGCTTGAAACTTTAATTTTGGCGGTCACATGGGATGTTTTCATATGTAGTCTTTGAAAGTTACGAACATGTTTTAGTATTTGGTTTCAGAGAGAATGGTAAGCTTGTTAGAGTCTCAAGTTCCCTCAGCAGTCCGTTATTGTAAGGGTTTGACAATGATGGATACTCCTTTTTAAGATGAAGATGCTGTCGAGTATTTTGTTCGTTACGATTGGATTTCACTTGTTCAAGTTACAATTTACCCTTAACCGTAATAGCGAGTTCGTGATTTTATTGATGCTGCCGTTACATTGTGGTATTCTGAATGGGACACTAACTTGGTAGTATGAGTATTTAGTCTTTTTGCAGATGTTAGATATCTACAGCTAGCTGTATCTAGGATGTATCTCTGTTATTACTTGTCATAGAAGTTGCCCAGAGGTTTTCAAACCATATGTCTGTGGTGTGAATGGGCAGCACACAAGTTCAGCAGGCATGATCTGCTGCTTAAAGCCATTCTATTCAATCTCTCTATCGGTATAGAAGAACCAAAGTATACTCAAGTTCCATCGAATACGGATAGCAGCGAAATTAACTACCTAGGATATCTGGGCTTGCTGCGAGATGAGAATATCATCGAAGTACTCCAGTTCAGAACAACAGCACATAAAACATAATCGAAGACCTTCGAAGATATTCAGTATCTCTTTCATGGTATACAAGAACCAATGTATGCTCAAGTTCCATCCAATAACGGATAGCAGTAAAATCAATTACCTAGGGGTTGTTTGGATTAGGAAATGTGGGCAGGGATTTTGCCACAATTCCTTGTCATAAGGAATTTTGTCACAATTCTTTGTTTGGATAGAAAAAAAAAATGAGAGATTTTACCCATTAGGAATTTCAAAAATCCTAGTATCAGAAATTTTAAAATAGCTCATGGACCCCAGGTTTTTTAAAATCTCTGCCAATTTTTTTCCAACCTTCCCAATTTGTCCCTTCTTATTTTTTGTTATTCCTTTCTTGCCCTCACCCTTTATTCACCGACTCACCATTTCCAACCTCTCTTTCCCATCTCTATCTCCTTCTTCCCTCCCGATACGAGAAACCATCTATCTCCTTCTTCATTTTTCTCGCATCGTCGGCGACTGCGGCGGGGTTCTACTAGCTCCGATCTACAGCGACGTCGACGGCTCGAACATCCACCCAACCCTCGGTTTAGCCCATCAGTCGCCGACCATATCCTCCCTGAATCTCTCCGCCGCTCCGCAACCCTCAGCCATGTTCATGTGTCGGCCAAATCCTCCCCATCCCTGAATCAACCCTCTGCAACTCCTCTATCCATCCTAGCCGCCGCCGGCCATCTCGTCTCACCATCAATTTGATTCCTTCCTGACCGCCGCTCCGCAACCGTCATTGTTCTCACCGCCTCTTCGTTAGCCCAATAGCCCATAGGAGATGATTAAGGTTATGGAGGGAAAAGTCCTCTTACTTGCTCTGCTTTGCGTATGCTCTTTCAGGCAGGACGAAGCAGAGAAGATTGTCCGACCGGCGAATCTCAAAGCAACTGCTTCCCTTTCGTCGGAGAAGAGATCATCCGAAGCAGAGGCAAAATAGTAATTTTAGGTTTGTCATTAAAATCTAAATTGCTCATTGGACAATTCTGGATCCCTTATCAAACAAGTAAATTGATTCAATTTCCTTGTTTAAATTATCTGGATTTTTAAGTGCAGAATTTGAGTGCAAATCCCTTATAAATCCCTCAAATCAAAATGCTTAATCCAAACGACCCCCTAGTGTCAAGTGTCCACGCAGCTTTCCTTCACAGGTGACAGGACCACAGCCTCCTGTGTAGGGATGGCAATCAAACCCATGGCCGCGGGTACCCGACCGCCCCCGACCCAATCAACGCGGGAAATCCCCGCTTTGACCGGGTATGGGGCGGGTATGGGTAAAACCCGCAAAAAGTTTGATGGGTATGGGGCGGGTATGGTTTTAGCCTCCCCGCCCCATACCCATACCCATACCCGCCCCACCAAGAGAATTTCTTCACATATCAAAAAATATGTGGATTAAATTGTAATCTATCAATGATGATGATGATAACTCGAGAAAATAAATAGTAGAAATGCAATTGAGTAACCACCTTAATCAAAACCTAATTTATTTCCCTCAATTCTCCTTCACTCTTTCACTTTCCCCCTTGTCAACAAGATTATGTTAGTTAATTATTACTTAGTAAATGTATCAAGAGTTAGAGCATAATAATTTAAAAAATATTGTAGTCTATATATGTATTAATGGATGTTTTAGGATCATATTCTTTGAACCTTATTTAGAAAATGACCGTGTTTTGTTGACTTCATGATATAATAGGTTTGTTTAGGGTTATAATTTAAACTTTTCTTGTAAGTTTCAGGTATAATAATGTTGAATGTACGGGGACGAGTATTACCCATGGATACCCGAAACCCATGGGTATGGGGATGGGTTTGCAAAACATTCCCCGCATGGGTATGGGGCGGGTATGGGTTTGAGTATTTGAAGATGGGATGAGGATGGTTTAGGCGAACCCACCCCAAACCCGCCCCATTGCCATCCCTACTCCTGTGGAAACCAATTCCATCATTGAGTGTGCAGTTCTAAGCTGGAATTCCAGTTAATATTCTCCAAGGTGTTTTAACAAGTGAATGAATGGCGATATCAATAGCAATGAACAAGATAAAAAGAGTTGGGAAAAGAAAACCCTTCGGCTGACAACTCAAGATAAGATAATCTCCGCTTGGTTAAAACAGAAAATGATAGTAGTTTAGGACCGAGTACCAGCACGAAAACAAAAATAGCCACAAAAGGGTAGCGAACAAGTCTGCAGAGAAAACCAATAGACAGAAACTAAAGAGCGTCACAGTTCTAAAACTAGAGATAAAACTTAGTCGACTTCCTCCATCTTGCTCTCCTCAGCAGCATCATCCTCAAGTGGAGGCATCTCCGACTCATCGCCACCGGCCAGATCGTCCTCATCAATGCTCAGCCCAAGCTTCAGCATCCTGTGAATCCTGGTTGCGAAGGTGTTGGGATCCTCCAGACTGAACCCAGAGTTCAGCAATGCAGTGTCGAACAGCAGCAGCACAAGATCCTTGACAGACTTGTCGTTCTTATCGGCATCAGCCCTCTTCCTCAGCTCGTCCATGATCCCGTTGTCCGGGTTGATCTCCATGGTCTTCTTGCTAGACATGTAGGAACCCATGCTGCTGTCCCTCAAAGCTTGAGCCTTCATGATCCTCTCCATGTTGGCGCTCCACCCATACTCGCCAGTCACCAAACAGCAAGGAGAGTCGACAATCCTGTCGGAGACAATCACCTTCTCGACCTTGTCGCCCAAGATGTCCTTGATTGTCTTGCAGAGCTCCTCAAAGGACTTCTTCTTCTCTTCCTTCTTCTGCTTCTCTTCCTCGGTTTCATCATCAAGCTTCAAACCTTCCTTTGTTGCTGAGACAAGCTTCTTTCCATCATACTCCTTCAGCTGCCCAATGGCATACTCATCAATGGCGTCAACCATGTAGAGGACTTCATATCCCTTCTTCTTCAGCCTCTCCAAGAAAGGAGAGTTCTCAACAGCCTTCTTGCTCTCTCCAGTAATGTAGAAGATGTCAGTCTGACCTTCCTTCATTCTGGTCACATAGTCCTTCAAGCTGGTCAACTCCTCACCACTCTTGGTGGAGTGATACCTCAAAAGGTCAGCAAGCTTGGAACGGTTGGTGCTGTCCTCATGGATACCAAGCTTCAAGTTCTTGGAGAACGACTCGTAGAACTTGTTGTAGTCCTCCTTGTTCTCGGCAATCTCGTTGAACATCTCAATGCACTTCTTGACGAGGTTCTTTCGGATGACCTTCAGGATCTTGTTCTGCTGGAGCATCTCACGGGAGATGTTGAGCGGCAGGTCATCAGAATCAACCACACCTTTCACAAAGGAGAGGAACTCTGGGATGAGCTCATCACAGTTGTCCATGATGAACACTCGCCTGACATAGAGCTTGATGTTGTTGGCCTTCTTTTTGTTGTCAAAGAGGTCGAATGGAGCGCGCTTGGGGACAAACAGGACAGCCTTGAACTCGAGCTGGCCCTCTACGGAGAAGTGCTTCACAGCCAGATGGTCTTCCCAGTCATTGGTCAGGCTCTTGTAGAAGGAAGCATACTCTTCCTTTGTGATGTCTTCTGGCTTGCGGAGCCAGATGGGTTTCTGCTTGTTGATGAGTTCCCACTCGTGAGAGACTTCCTTGATCTTCTTCTTCTTCTTGGATTCAGTCTCTTTCTCTTCATCAACTTCCTCAACTTCGCCTTCCTTTTTGGGCTCCTCTTCATCTTCATCATCACTGATTTCCTTCTCGGTGGTTTTCTCGGTCCAGAGGTAGATCGGGTAGCTGATGAACTCAGAGTGCTTCTTCACAAGATCCTTGATCCTCCTCTCCTCAAGGTATTCCAGCTGTGGAAAGAGAGATGCATTAACACGTGTCTCAACCATCTCACCAAACAAATGTTCCTATCTAGCAATTATTAGATACTAATCCCGTCTATTCTGAATTCAGAAATGATTACACAATCATTCAAATTCAAGATACAAACATGTTCTATTACAAACAAGACTACAAACCAACATAAATAGAAAGTTCGGAAATAGGATATGCTAACTGAGCAGGCAAAGCACAAGTTCATTCTTATATTCACAAGGCCAACGGCAACAGTATTTAACTAGATGAAACCAGTCAGAGTCGTAGTCGTAGGGAAAATTTTACCTGGTCTTCCTTAAGGTGGAGGACCATCTTGGTGCCTCTGCCGAGTTGCTCCCCGGTTGTGTCCCTTATAACGGTGAAGGAACCACCAGCCTGTGACTCCCACACATACTGCTCGTCATCGTTGTGCTTGGTGGTCACGATGACCTTCTCGGAGACAAGGTAAGCAGAGTAGAACCCAACACCGAACTGGCCAATCATGCTAACATCAGCACCAGCCTGCAAGGCTTCCATGAACTCCTTGGTTCCAGACCTCGCAATCGTTCCCAAATTGTTCACCAAATCTTCACAAACACAAAACGAAACCATTCTACCTCAGTAACCATCATACCATGCGCATACACATACTCAAACTAGGGCAAGCGAGAGAAAACATAAATTCAAGGACTGTGGAACTCACCAGCTTTGGTCATGCCGATGCCGGAGTCGATGATGGTGAGGGTGTTGTTGGCCTTATCGGGGATCAGCCTGATGAAGAACTCCGGCTGTCCATCGAGCTTGCTCTTGTCGGTCAGGCTCTCGAATCTGATCTTGTCCAAAGCCTAAAATCAACAACAACATCACAGCCATAGCATTCAGAAATCAGGATTCAATCTATAAACCCCAAGAGAGTTGGAACGGAATTACGATTGAAGCGGGACTCACATCGGACGAGTTGCTGATGAGCTCGCGGAGGAAGATCTCCTTGTTGCTGTAGAAGGTGTTGATGATCAAGCTCAGGAGCTGGTTGATTTCGGCCTGGAAGGCGAATGTCTCGACGTCCGCCATCGTTAAACCCTCGGACTGATGAAGCGAAGAAGCAGTAGATCTGTTTTTTTGGAAGAGCGTTTGAGGAAAGAGAAAAGTCGAGGCGGGGGCGAAAGAGGGTTTGAGCGGAGGGAGCGAAGTGTGTATTTATATAGTGCAGTGGGGTTTCAGCCTTCAGGGAGGTTTTGCTAGGGCAAACACCAACAAGGTCAAGGATTCAGAAATTCTAGATCCTTCTCTGGATGGGCCCCCGGTTCTACTAAATTCGTGGCTTAAACTTGCAACTTGCAGGCCTTCTAAATCGCCAGACGAGCGTGTTAATTCAAAGGCAAAGTCATCCTGCAAGATCAAGAGGCAGTCATCCTTTTTCCTTTCCGTTGCGAACTGGTATTACTTGGATTCTTTTCACTACTAGCTTATTACCCGGCCCGTTAGTCGGATTGGATTACTGTATGTTACCCACTTGTGGAATGGGAGAGAAAGCAAGTGAGAGTGAAGGAATTGGCATTCCACTTGATTAGGACCGACCCACTAATCTGATTCTTTCCGACCCGCCCCAACCTAAAGGGTCAGAAAGAGTTAATAAGAAAATACGAACGAGGATTAGTCATATATCTTGACTCTTCAGAAGTGGGTCAAACATGATCAAGGTTTGGTGAGGGTAATTTTTAGCGCTAAGCAGAGTTATGGGTTGAATAACTTTACTTAGGCATAGAAATTGGTGCTGATGCAGACTGCAGTTTTTATTATACCATCATCAATCATCATTGAATTAGTCCTGGGCATCCCTCCCCGTTGTCGGTCTGAATTCTAATGATGGCTTCATTCCTTGCACCAGCCATATCAGCGAGTTGTCATCTCGAGCATGATTTGCCTATGTACAAATGATACAATTAGAGTATGAAACTGAATTCAAAGAAAAGGAAAAGAGAATTCTATCACATGCCAATAAATAAACACATAATAGTTGAAGCTAAGTGAAAGTCATTACTCGCACTTCTCAAAAATTACAGACTAAACAATGGCTAGAATGACACTGAAACTACCAAGAATCATGGACGAAACAACTTGTCAAATTAAATAATCCTTATACTGAAACTACCTTCTAACTTGAAATAAGACATGATCACAGTTCATAGCTCTCTTCTCACTATGAATTGGTTGCAGCTCGTCCTTATCACTGCCTCCCAAGCTCAATTCAAACAAAATAGAGACCGTTATGTAAGATAACCATATCCTTACTGATCATAATTCCTTTCTTCACTCCATTTTTGTCGTAGAAAAGAGTTATCCCCCTCTCCTGCATTTCCCTTTCCCCCTCTCTTCTCTCTCTTCTTCACAAACCGATCCCTAAACCAGCAACAACAACACAAAAATAGCCTTCGCCTCTGCCGTCTCCATCTACTGAACGCGTTGGTGGCAAGACAGGACTACAGAAGCAAAATTTTCTAAACTCAAACTAAATTTTTTGAAGGAAACTCAACCACGAAAAAAGAGTAAAGCAACAATGCTAATAGTTCAGATGGTTGGTTTTGATGTTATACGTTGCTTTTGTTCTGGTCTCCAGTATATCAACTGCAACAGAGATGTTTCCTCCAATCATTTTTAGTGCACGATTTAGAAGCAAGTCCTCCTGTTTGTGTCAAACGGAAACATTCATGGGTTCTTAACTCCCCTGTTAGTGTAAATGCAGCAGCAGCAAAGAAGTTTGACAACACAGCAAGCACCCAGGCAAAATGATACAATGCAGTAGGTGATATGTGTCTCGAAGGTTTTGAGTTACTAAAGTTCATGTTAAAAATAAACATGAATTAAAATGGATTATTCTATTAAGCAAACATCCCCTCTAATCATACAAAGATCAGATATCCAATTCACAAACAATTAAGTCATAAAAAATCATAACACATCCACCACCTTTGATTGCCTAAATTTGGTTTTTCGCAAAGTTATGGACTCTTAAGGAAACGTTCATGGGTAGTCTGTTTCATAACTCTAGAGAGCACAGTAAGCAGCCACCAGCCAGACACAGTGCGGTAGGTGAATATGATTCTCAATTCACAATTTCTCACCACCGGAAGTAAGAACAGACCATAATAAGCGTAGCGTTCATGGGTGGTCTGTTTCATAGCACTACTACACAATTTGTTAAAAAAGAAAGAAAGGTATTTAGCATCACGGCAGAACAACTTTTACAGGCCAACAACGACAACATACTGCAACCACCAGAACTGGTATCACAACTCATAGGGAAAATCAAATGATTTACTCTCAAATTAAGTAGTTACAACATCGAGCAATCGTTAATTTAAAAAGATATAACAAATGTACTTAGTGTGATTGGTTATTATCCTTGCTTTTCTTTAAAATGGTCATGGTTCGAATCCCAGTACGTGTCTTTTTAATGAATAAAAAAAGTAATTGTGAAGACCAAAATGTCCTTTCTACTTTCACTCTCGTTGAAATTTGAAATGGGGCTCCCGTTTTTCCCTTCGGCGTATTATAAGTATAGTAGAGAGATAGATTTATTAGTCAAATTTATTGGAATGCTTGTACTTAACCATTTTTTTATATCAGATCATAGTATTAGTATTAGCTTTCGTTCTATTATAGTTAATTATTTTCTAACGAATCTCTACATCAGCATCAACATCCACGTCAGTAAGGATAATTTTTTTTATTTTATTAATTCATTTTCTAAATACAAATAGAAAACGGTAGTCTTCTCCACACCCCCTAAGAACAACATTCAGCGGAGGCGACATCCCCCACCGCGCCCTTCTCTTCCCCTCCATTGTCATCATCGGACGCTTCATCAGCTTACCACCACAGCCTCGACTTCTCCCAGGCAAACTAGAGTACGTGATTAATCCGATTTCGTTACTAATTTTATGAAATGGTGGTTACTGTGCTGTAAATGTATACGTTTTGGGGTGGAATGCATGGTTCCTGAAACTCCAACTCCGAAAATTCCGTATCAAGTCTGCCCTGACCCGTACTCAATACTGTGGAGATGGAGGAGGAAGAAATCTCGGAGGAAAAACTACTGATCTAATCATTCATTAGATCTTTGCTTCACCATGATGATGTGTCTATTGTCTTTTAACTTTTGATTTATACATATAGATGGACAGATAGGGCAATTCTTTTGCTGAGTTTGATATAAAGCTTAAGCTACAAATAGTTGTAGAGAAAGTTCTCCTGATTTGTCATTCTGTTGTGGTTGGTTCACTGAGATCTCTGAAATCCTGATGTTAGAAGGATATCCAGAGACGTGGTTTGTGAAAAGGAAGACCACCGCGTCTCGTCTAGTTCTCCTGCTAGAAAACCCGCTTCGAATCTCCACTCACCACAACCAAAACACAACTCCCTCCAGGGCCACCCAAGCTCTCCCTATTTGTCTTCCTCCTTCTCCTATTCACCAAAACCCTTCATCCCTCCTTTCGCTTCTTTTCTCCTTCTCGTTAGCATCATCTTCCTCCAGTCCCGACCAACCGTCGAACAATTTCCGAATAAGTTATTCTTCCTAGCGTTTCTTGCGAGCTAGTTTATATGTCTGTTCAATCGCACATAGAGTTCTAACTGAAACACCCAGTTCTCTATTTGTAGTTCTCATGATCGGGTTTGTGTATTTTTTTCTCTGAGCTCCTCCAGGAATAGTGCGAATATCAATTCTACTGGTACATCTCCACTTCATCGGTGCACTCTCAACCCTCCAAATCCCCCAAAATTCCTAATTAAAATTTCCCAAACCATTACTCTTTGACTCGCCTTTACCGTCACACTAGAATTGATATTCGCGTCCTAAGTGTGCTGACTACTCCGTGAATTCTTATTATATAGCACTGTGAATGTAGTGAAGGTCTTAATAAACAAACAAGCAAAGCAGTAAACAGTTGTTTTCAAGTTGAGAGAGATCACCCGGATATGGTTCCCCCTAGACTGCCGTTAAGCCAAATTGTAATTCACCAAGTTCAAATTCAAGGATAGTTATACTGCGGGAGGTTCTTAAACAGTCTGCAGTCTCGACTAAAGGTCTCCAGACCCTCTCAATCTGAGTCCCCAGAGGGCGACTAACCTCCACCGGAGTAAACAGATTGAGGCCCTAACGAACAAAACCTCCTCTACTGGAGTAAATCCAGTACAGAATAGTGAATTGACTCCTCGACTAAAGTCGTCAATTCACTACCTTCAATCAAGGGTACTCTATCAACCTAGGCAGATATTATCTTTCTAGGTCAAAGCAGAAACAACGAGAATGTGATCAGGATTCATGCAATTCATCAAATCAAACCTCAATTGAATATAATCAAACCAATGGATTCATACTTGGGTTCATACAATCAGACATAACATACAAATCTAGGGTTCTCCATACCCAGATGAATGAGGAAGGTACTCCATGGAGAGAGAAGCAGAAACTAGCTCAGATGCAGAATGCTGTGAAGGATGGGTTTCTACTTCTGGTCGTCAATCGGCACTTCTCCAAGTGTTAGCCGAGCTCCAATGGTGATGAAGATCAATCTAAAGCACTTGGGAACTCTGGTTCGTCGCTTTCTCTCTCTAGGTATGACTTTCTTTCTCCAAAACTAGGAACCCTTGTAAAATTGGCCCTTTTTCCCCCCTCAAAAGGGAGCAGATCACGATCCCCGGTCATAATACCCAGTCGGGTATTTCAGCTGCCCGGCCGGGTATTTTGAAACGCAGCGTAGTGGGGAAGGAGAAATACCCGATCGAGGTTCAGAATACCCGAACGGGTATTTTAGCTATCCGACCGGAACCCCTTCTGGAATTTTGGCGTCCAAAACGTGTATCCCCGGCCTCTCCTTGCCTTTTACCCGGTCGGGTATTTTCACTCCTGGCCGGGTATTTTGCTCCTCCAGCTCCCTTTTACTCCAACGGTCCCCTTTTCGCCAGAAACTCGATTCCTCGCCTCCAAGTCAACGCCAAGTCCTGAAATGTGACATAAACACACAACCTAGCGTGAAATCGGCTTAAAACACGTGAATGAACATCTCAAATGGCTCAAGAATAGGGGTATAAACATGTGTAATTATTAGTCTATCAAATTCCCCCACACTTAACCGTTTGCTTGTCCCCAAGCAAACCTAACTCAAACCAATGCAGCTCTCTAGACCTCTATAGCAACAAACAACCTCGATCATCGATAGAGGATGTTCTAGATCATTTAGCAACTTACGAGGTCAGCCAACACACAAGTCATCTCCTAACTT